CAACCGTAGCCTTTTCATTTTGTTTTACTCATATTGTATTTGTATGTTAAATAACATACACATCATGAATCAAAATTTGATCTGAAGCAGCTGCTACTTCCAGAGGATAACGAGTATAATATGTGAAAACAGATCGCCATAATTTCCACTTACCCTAATTATGTTACAAATAGGATTCGCCGATATATACCTTAAGGCATATATCGAGAGAGGAGAGCAACTTTTCCATTGGGTCCTTATAAGCTACACATATTATATCCATTAGCCGTATTAAAGATAAACTTGAGTTCTGGTAAAAAAAAAAAAAAAATTAATTCTCACATAATCTAACGAAACTTACACTGAATGTTCAAGATTACAAATAAATGTCATGTGCCAAACAATTTTGGAAGAAAATGTATACTGGCTGAGTAATGAGCATAGAAAGATAAGGAAATCAGGGTAGTACTAGCCCCGACACCATGTGTGTTGTCCCATATACATCTTTCTGTGTAAGTGATTGTTACTTTACCAAGACTCTGTCAAATTTATGATGATTTTGATGACTCCAGAACCTTGCATTACACATCATTACTTAGATGCTATATGATCAACTTTTCTGATCCATTCCACACCTTTTCTTTCACAATGCAATCGCATTACCAGAACTCAAGTTTATCTTTAAGTTATTTCGTTATCCTGATAAATCAGATATCGAACCTGATTGCTAATTTGCCATGTTTTGATTGATTGGCCTCCCCGGAATATATTTTTTCGCGAAAACTGATCGGCATGATTTTCTAATGACTCTAATCAAGTTTCACAGGAGCACTACCTCCTCCTTACTCTATTGAAAGACTGCATAGCCATTCAAAGATTAGTAGAAGAATAACAAAAAGAAAGGGGACAAAGACAAATTATGAGGAGGAAAAAGAGGAGAATAATATTATAAGAAGGTGGATAATAAGAAGGAGTAGGCCTATAAGAAGAAAAAAAGGATGACGAAGAATAAGAAGAAGAAGTAGAAGAAGAAAAGAAAGAGGACGAATCAGAAAGAGGAAGAGGAAGAGAAGAAGAAGAAGAAGATGAAGTACAACGAAAAAAGAAGAACAAATGGAGAGAGAGAGAGAGAGAGAGTGTGTGTAAGAGAGAAGGGGTGGGGGTAGGGTTGGATGTTAGATAATCTCCCACATACTTCCCCTTACACATGGCGCTGTAAGATACTATTTCATTCCACCTACTATTAAAGAGAGGCGCAGCCCCTCCCCTGTGATGACGATGCTTCGTAATGATCAACTGACTCGGGTGCACCCACAACCCAACGACGTTATGAATAACACGTTATTGAGAACCTGCAGTCGATATCTAATTAGAAATAAATCAAAACATAAAAAAGTGTATTTGATTGTTTCTGAAGGATATAGTTAGAAGTATATATTTATATAATATTGACTGGCCTTGAGGGGTATATCAGAAATATTGACCAAGCTCAGATCATATTGCCCCGAGTCGAAAGACGAGGGCAATATGGTCTTAGCGCGGTCAATATTTCTGATATCCCCCGAAAGTAAAGCCAGTCAATATTTTTATTGTTATCCAAATCAGACATCTAGAGCAAATACAGACATCCACCATGACAATCTCAAGAACTGAACAAACTTTGTCAAACCAACACTGTGCATCCAGTGCTTGACAAAATTTTCGATACACTACAAACAGTGTGTATTTGGTGTGATTATTACGTCACAATAGAGTGCGCGCAAAGTGCGCAGGTTCCCGTACGCATAATATTAATAGATGCGCAATGAAAATGCGAGACCGTGGAAAATACCAAGGTATATTTTCACTCGTCTCTACACGCAAAGTCAATACGCGCAGGGAGACCAAGGAAAATACAAAGAATATACCCCTCCGTTCCCACTGCTAGTGAAAACTAGGGCAATACGGTTTTGTAAATGACCAGCTCAGATGTCTGATACGGGTAATAATTATATAATATTGACTGGCCTTGAGGGGTATATCAGAAATATTGACCAAGCTCAGATCATATTGCCCCGAGTCGAAAGACGAGGGCAATATGGTCTTAGCGCGGTCAATATTTCTGATATCCCCCGAAAGTAAAGCCAGTCAATATTTTTATTGTTATCCAAATCAGACATCTAGAGCAAATAGAGACATCCACCATGACAATCTCAAGAACTGAACAAACTTTGTCAAACCAACACTGTGCATCCAGTGCTTGACAAAATTTTCGATACACTACAAACAGTGTGTATTTGGTGTGATTATTACGTCAGAATAGAGTGCGCGCAAAGTGCGCAGGTTCTCGTACGCATAATATTAATAGATGCGCAATGAAAATGCGAGACCGTGGAAAATACCAAGGTATATTTTCACTCGTCTCTACACGCAAAGTCAATACGCGCAGGGAGACCAAGGAAAATACAAAGAATATACCCCTCCGTTCCCACTGCTAGTGAAAACTAGGGCAATACGGTTTTGTAAATGACCAGCTCAGATGTCTGATACGGGTAATAATGCATTATATATATAGCATGTATCAACATATTCTGTTCATATTCAATTCCACTAGGTAAAACATTAATTTATTTTTATTTTTTCAATTTCATCATGAGTGTTGCTTTTTCTTTGATTTCACAACGAATGATGAGTAGATTGCACGAAAATAATTTAATAAAATTAGAAAAATAGAATCTGTCTTAACTTGATTATATCGTTGGAAATTTTTAAAATTTCCAATCGCATGTGTTGTTTGAAGCGCATGAGCTGGGGACAGTGGGATTTCATAATTACGATTTTCAAGTGTATTACAGACTTGATAATGTTTGAATATTCTAGCAGATGCAATGCGTTATGCTTTGACCAGCGAGGTAGTATCGTTCCGGGTAACGAACGGGGGGGGGGGGGGGGGGGGGGGGGTACTGGCGATTGAAACGGGGGTGGTCTTACTACTAGTAGATGGATAAATTGCAAAAACTCAAGGCGAAAGAATATAATAACGGTGGATCTCGGGAAAGGAAGGCACGCATCCCCGATGAAAGCCCAATCTCGCATAGCTTAAATTAATCCAAAATAGATTTACTTGCCAAAATCATACCACCCCTAAAAATCCAAGACCCACCAATACTTCTAGGCTATGCTTAACAGACAAACATAACTCATGTCTTCAAGAAAGGCACAAAAAAAACAAAAAAAAAACAACGAAAAGGAAAACAAAAATGAAAAGTAAAATATTCAAAATATTCGTAATCGATAGCCAAGCATAGTCGGGTAATATTGGGGCGCCTTGATGACCTTGCAAGGTCGATACGTGCGCTATATAATAATCCAATATTATATTATATTATTATTAAGTATATTCAAACAGCGAGAATTTGCCAGCAACAGTATTCAAGTGTGTCCGGGAGATGAAAAGAGAGGTCACTCTCTAAGTGATCTGACCCTGGGATAGCTAATATAAGAGTCCACTTCCAAAATTGATAGATGTTTTTCAAGGTTAAAACCTAGTTCGTCTATTCTAAATACACTTTTTTCGTCATTTTTCCCTCTTTTTTAAATTTCAATCAACGCGCGTTTGAATATGTCCCCTAAAATGTATTTATCTTTTAGTCGATTAATTGACTAGTTGATCAGTTTCTGTTGGTTTAATATTAATGAGTTAAAAGTTGAGTAGAATATGCTGCCATGAGTAATGGTACAATATAATAAAAGCACAACTACAACAACAACAACAACATCAACTACTACTACTACTACTACTACTACTACTACTACTACTATATACTACTACTGCTACTAGTACTACTACTGCTGCTACTACTACTACTACTACTACTACTACTACTACTACTAATACTACTACCACTACTACTACTACTACTACTTCTACTTCTACTGCTACTAATACTACTGCTACTACTACTACTACTACTACTACTACTACTACTACAACAACAACTACTACTACTACTACTACTACTACTACTACTACTACTACTACTACTACCACTACTAATACTAGTACTAGTACTACTACTACTGCTACTAATACTACTACTGCTACTAGTACTACTACTACTACTACTACAACAACAAAAACAACTACTACTACTACTACTACTGCTACTAGTACTACTACTACTACTACAACAACAACAACTACTTCTACTACTACTACTACTACTACTACAACAACAACTACTACTACTACTACTACTACTACTACTACTAATACTACTACTACTACTACTACTACTACTACTACTGCTACTACTACTACTACTACTACTACAACTACTACTACCAGTACAAATACTGTTACTACTACTACTACTACTACAACTTTTAATTTTGTTTACCTACACAAACGTCATCAGCTTCAATATTGTGCTTCTGTGAGGGCCCTGCAATTATCATTACCCGAGCAATCGCCAGGTACACATTTACACCTTGGTGGAGAGTGGAAATGGATTCTAACCCTCGACCCTTGGAAAGAATTTCAAGTGAATAATGAACCAAAATACCACGACATCTCCATCATGCGTATGACCTTTCTTTGCTCAGTGCAAAAAATATTTAAGTTTTTGGGGGACATATGGCAGGGTATTAACTAGTCTACTACCTGCACTGTTTCCGTGCTGCTTGCCCGTATGAGGACAATAACCCCCTGGGCAATCACCCCAAAAAACTACTCCAATGGACAATTACCCCCCCCCCCCCGAACACTATTACCCCCTAAGAAAATTACCCTCGTTGACAATTACCCCACCCCTGAAAGTACTACCTCCTAAGCAATACCCCCCCCCCCCAAGAACAATTAAGGACAAGCACCCATTGAGTCAAATGACAATGAAGCAACAATCTACTCCTACCCTTCTATTGTGACGTCTCAAAGTAATGTTGGTAATGCGCATGCGCCTGCAGCCACAGTTGCTCGTCCCCTTCAACCGCCGTTTATAAGCGAGCGATGCCTGGCGTCTCGGGACAGTGTGAAAGCATCACATACCTCGGATCGAGGAGCTCAGTGGCAGGAATTGATGTTATTTTCGTCTGAAATTTTACTTTACTCAAGTTACATGATATTTGTTTTCCATTTCGTCGAGATTTTAAAAACGTTCACTCTACGATTTGAGTGACGACGTACAGGCAGTTTTTGCCCATTTGTTTAACTGCTCTGCCTGGTTTTTCTTTGGTAAGTTACATTTTGTTTATTTGTTCGTTAGTTTCTTTATTTGCTAGCTTTTTGTTATAATATCGCATTATACAACAACAAATCAACGAGACCATCACCGCCACCACCAACAAAAAACATAACTATCATCGCCATAATTATCATCATCATCATCATCATTTATATCTAACATCGTCATCATCATCGCCGTTACCATGATCATCATTTATCTTCTTCTACGTCCTTCCCCTCCTCGTCATCATCACCATCGTCATTACCATTCTCATTTTTATGAATATAAAATTTGTGAAACCTGTTAAAACATTAATTTCATACTAGCTTTTCGGTTATTTTTATAAAGTTCCAGAGGATAGAATGATGTAGTTATCTTGTGCGGAGTGCTGTATGTGACTGCTCCTTGCAATTATATTTTAACCAAAACAATATATTTTTGCTGATCAATATCATTATCTTTCATTTTGTGTAATAGTTGAGACACATATCGCTTTGGGTCCTTTTTTGTGAAGAATTCAACGACAAAAATATAGATCTATATACCGTTCATGTGATTTATAAAGTTCCTTGAATGTACATCTTTCAAAAGGACAGTCCGTCCTTCATGAACTTAACTCTTTATAAATTATGCTATACAAATAATTAATAAAAATATAACCAACTCTTCAATACAAGGTTATTTAACTTTTTCCAGTACTAGATTAGCCTATACCCGGGTTTAAATGGATTGGGTATCTTTGCCTCAGATTCTGAAACAAAATCCGGGATTTAGCTCATGCTGCAATCATAACTATAAACCTTTAGGTCAGTCAGGAATCCCATAAGTTTTACAAGCCGATCGCCTGTCTCATTGTCAAGATGTTTATGATTGAAACGGTTTTCATAACACTACAGTAAAAAAAAAAAACGAGTATGGTGAAACCGGTAACTCAAAAATGTTTTTACTTTTTCGAAGCACTGCATGATCATTTTGAAGCGCGATTCTTTTTAGGGCTTCAATATTACGCCGTATCACAGAAAATGATAACACGTAGGGCTATGCATCTCAACAATGTCATTGGTCACTCAAGGATTTGTTTACATTTTTGAAGCACTTCATGATCATTTTGAAGGGCAATTATTTTTAGGGCTTCAATATTACGTCATATCACAGACACTGATAACACGTAGGGCAATGCATCTTAGATTTTTAAAACTGGAAACATCGTTAAACAATGCCTTTAAAGGGTCATCATAGAACCAATCAACACTGTCATTGGGTGATCTCACAAAGCTACTTTGTTGCTCAAAGCAGTTCTTCCATCAGTAGGTCCACTGTGAAAAGGTGGAGCGATATTTTCCAACAATTTTGCCAACGTTGTGCCAATAGTCAACATAACGATCTATTGGGCAATATTTTGCCTAGTGGTATTGGTAAACGTAAGTACGTGCATAATTGTTTCGTATTTTGCCCAACAGCTGGTCAAGTTGTTCCCAACTAGTGGGCTACCGTAGTCGGGCAGTTGAAGGGTCATATCTTTGCCCACATTTTGAACAAAATACGAAAAAATTATGCACATGTGAAGTAGGGTACTTACGTTTACAATATCAATGGGCAAAACATTGCCCAGTAGATGGTTGGGTTGACTATTGGCACAACGTTGGGCAAAGTATTGGAAAAATATTGGCCAACCTTTTCACAGTGTCCCTTTTATTTTGGAGGCAAAAATACACGTGTAGCAAATAAGCGACCGTGCAGAAAAGTGAAGAAAACAACCTAAAGCTATTTATAGAAAGCTAAATGGAGGGGAGACGATAATAATTAAAATATAATAATGCATCTCAGATTCATTGTTAAACGATGCCTTTAAAAAGAATCCTGCATCCGGCATTATCTATTCTACAAGCGTCTTCAAGAAAGAACGTGATGTGATTTCTGGAAATATTAAACAGGTTTCACTTTCCTAGTTTGATAAGTAAAGAAAAAATAACAATTTGTCAAAAAAGGGTGACAAAAACAACAAAAACAAAATAATAAATGAAAGAAAGCAAACAATCAGCTAATCATACCTCCTCACCCTAAAAAAACACATTTTTAAAAACATTTATGCACTAATGACGTATATAAAATACAGCATGATGGTATTTAAGCCACCAGCACTTTCTGAGCTTGTAATTTATTTCAATTGATTCCAACAAGATTTGACGTTATTTTTAATACCACGCGATCTCCATCATGCGTATGGCTTATTTTTGCTCAGTGCAGACCTAGATATTAGCCCAATGTGTGTAAGTCGAACTGCTCATTAGAATGAGCACTGATTACAAATTAAATATTTAAGTTTTTTGGGGACATATGGCAAGGTTTTAACTAGTCTACTGCCTGTCTTGTTTCCGTGCTGTTTGCCCGTATCAGGACAATAACCCCCTAGGCAATCACCCCCGAAAAACTACTCCAGTGGACAATTACCCCCCCCCCCTCCCCGAACACTATTACCCCCTAAGAAAATTACCCTCGTTGACAATTACCCCACCCCTGAAATTACCACCCCCTAGGCAATACCCCCCCCCCCCCCCAAGAACAATTAAGGACAAGTACACATTGAGTCAAATGACAATGAAGCAACAATCTACTCCTACCATTCCATTGTGACGTCTCAAAGTAATGTTAGTAATGCGCATGCGTCTGCAGCCACAGTTGCCCGTCCCCTTCAACCGCCGTTTATAAGCGAGCGATGCCTGGCGTCTCGGGACAGTGTGAAAGCATCACATACCTCGGATCGAGGAGCTCAGTGGCGGTTATTGATGTTATTTTCGCCTGAACTTTTAGTCTACTCAAATTCATTGTAATTTTTTTCATCAATTTTTCGAGATTTTTAAAACTTTCACTCTTCGATTTGAATGACGACGTACAGGCAATTTAGGAATTTGTTTCTTCTGCCTGATTAGTTTAAGTGCTCTGCCTGTTTTATCTTTGGTAAGTTACATTTTGTTTATTTTTTCGTTAGTTTCTTTACTTGCTAGCTTTTTGTTATAATATCTCATTATACAACAACAAATCAACGAGACCATCACCACCACCAACAACAAAAACATAACCATCATCGGCATAATCATCATCATCATCATCATCATCATCATCATCATCATCAACATCGTCATCATCATTTATATCTAACATCGTCATCATCATGGTCGTTACCATGATCATCATTTATCTTCTTCTACCTCCTTCCCCTCCTCGTCATCATCACCATCATCATAACCATCATCACCATCATCATTACCATTATCACCATCATCATTACCATTATCACCATCATCATTGCCATTATCACCATCATCATAACCATTATCACCATCATCAATACCATTATCACCATTATCATTACCATTATCACCATCATCATTACCATCATCACCATCATCATTACCATCATCACCATCATCATAACCGTTATCATCATCATCATTACCATTATCACCATTATCATTACCATTATCACTATCACCATTGCCATTATCACCATCATCATAACCATTATCACCATCATCATTACCATTATCACCATTATCATTACCATTATCACCATCATCATTACCATCATCACCATCATCATTGCCATTATCACCATCATCATTACCATCATCACCATCACCATAACCATCATCACCATCATCATTACCATTATCGTTTTTATGAATATAAAATTCGTGAAACCTGTTAAATCATTCATTTCATACCAGCTTTTCGGTTATTTTTTTGTTTAATTCCGAGAGGATAGATGTAGTTATCTTGTGCGGATTGCTTCATGTGACTGCTCCTTGCATTTGTGCTGAACTGCTGATCAATATAATTATCTTTCATTCTGGTAATAATTGAGACATATCGCTTTGGGTCCTTTTTTTGTGAAGAATTCAACGGCATAGATAAAGATCTACCGTTCATGTTATTTATGAAGTTCCACGAATTTATGTATTACGAAAGGAGATTTCTTTGTTAACTTAACTCTCTATATGCAACACGAATAATTGTGTTTATCTTTGAATAGATTTAACAAACTCTTCAATAGAAGGTTATTTAACTCTTCTCAGTGCTAGAGTAGCCTATACACGTATTTAAAGGGATTGTGTATCTTTGCCTCAGATTCTAAACAAAATACTGGATTTAGCTCATGCTGCAATCATAGTTATAATCCTTTAGGTCAGTCAGGAATCCCATGACTTTCAAAAACCGATCGCCTGTCTGATTATCAAGATGTTTATGATTGGAATTTGAAATTTCGAAAAATTGTTTTCCAACGGTTTTCATAAAAATACAGTAAAAAAAAATGAGTATGGTGTAAACGGTAACTCAAAGATGTTTTTACTTTTTTGAAGCACTTCATGATCATTTTGAAGCGCAGTTTGTGTATAGGGCTTCCATATTACACCATACCAAAGACGTTGACAATACGTAGGGCCATGCATATCAGATTTGGCATTGTTAAAAATTGCCTTTTAAGCGTCATTATAGACCCAATCAACAATGTCATTGGTCACTCAAGGATTTGTAAATTTTTGAAGCACTTCATGATAATTTTGAAGCGCAATTCTTTTTAGGGCTTCGATATTACGTCATATCACAGAAATGATAACACGTAGGGCCATGCATCTTAACAATGTCATTGGTCACTCAAGGATTTTTAAACATTTTTGAAGCACTTCATGATCATTTTGAAGGGCAATTCATTTTAGGGCTTCAATATTACGTCATATCACAGACACTGATAACACGTAGGGCAATGCATCTTAGATTTTTAAAACTGGAAACATCGTTAAACAATGCCTTTAAAGGGTCATCATAGAACCAATCAACACTGTCATTGGGTGATCTCACAAAGCTACTTTGTTGCACAAAGCAGTTCTTCCATCAATAGGTCCACTGTGAAAAGGTTGGCCAATATTTTTCCAACACTTTTCCCAACGTTGTGCCAATAGTCAACCCAACGTTATATTGGGCAATATTTTGCCCAGTGGTATTGGTA